CCCCTTGTTACATAAATTTGATCTTGTGATGCTTAGTGATATTTGGGTCAACAACAGCTGTGTATAGATCAGTTGTCCTGTATTATACCTAGTGACATCATGTCATATTAGATCATACATGTATTAAGCATGATATTTGCAAAAAGAGACATTTCTCGGAGCCCATCCTGGTCATTCCACAATGCATGGCTGTAAATCAATTGCAACACCTAGTGCATGTGACTGATGCATATCTCAGCAGGCAACCCATGAAACTGAGAGTCAGACAGACCTAGCAGAGAGTCTTCAACAAGCCTTTTATCATGTGAATTCTTTAGTGAGTAACTGAGAATTCAAAGATTATTCTATTCAAAAATAGGTACTGAGCATCCAGGCAGCCTGGGTTCTGCTGCAGTAACAAACAACCCTGAGCACATAGCAGCATAAAGCGACAAAGCTTTGTATCTCACTGACCTCAAGGCCCACTGCAAGTTGGTGTGTTGCCATCTTGGCTGAGGGGTGCAGCCTGACAGAAGAGCCACCACAGAAACCTTTTTGGTTCAGTAGCTACAGCAATGAGAGAACTCTAGTGGGTCTTACTGCAGCTATTATATACGTAGCTGAAAAAATGACAAACAATTTATCAGCAGCATTGGCCTCTGGGCCCCATACATCACAAGGGAATCCAAAGGTCTCACTACGACCCCATAAGAGGAAGAAGTAAAAACATGTGGCCACTAGTATCACTTTGTATGGATGATGCGAAGCAGATATTGAAGTAGGTGCAGAAGACCTTTTCAGTGACTGGACCACAGGAGGCGTCATTTGCACTCCTTTTCTTGTTTTGTTGTCTTTATTTTGTTTGTTTGTTGAATGCTCCATTTGTGAGGGAAACGTAGCAGTGACAATATTGAGAAGGGCCTGCATTACACCACACCCTGGCATACATTTGAAAATCATCTCAGCTCTACGTCTGATGATGCCTGCAATTTCCTGAAATAGTGGGTGGTGCCTTCTGCCTTCCCTAGGGGCACTCTGGAATATGGTAAGGGATAGCCTTTGAGGAGATCCTGATTTCTGAAGTTTTTCTTTCCACTATACATTTTTGATGCTGGGGTCGGTGGCATCTCTTGGTTCATATGAGCAACTATAACTGTAATGTAACTGATTAAGAATCACAAAGCTGGAGCCAAACTAATTTGAGAATCCAGGTGGGCTCATAAATAGTCATTATTGGTGAAGAATGACTTACTGTGCTGGCTATTTAAAGACATCTGTTTTCTCTACCGCTCCTTTTCTTCTTTTCCTGAATGCACTTGAGAATCTTCGGGTAATGTCTTCTGATTTACCACTTGTCTTTGTTTTTAATATCAAGGAAGAACATAGATTGAAGTGATTGTCTTGGTAGCAACTTTAGTGGTGTGGAGTTATTAAAATTTATAGCCATGCCGTTTCTGCAGCTTCACTTTGCTCTTCTTAGAGAGTCTTATAAAAGGCACCAAGGAATGGAGAACGACAGCAACTACCAAATTGTGACGGGAAATCGACACTGCAAAAGTTTGGTGTTCTGTTTACTAAAATTTACATTTATTTTCACAATAAACACCTTCCAAACCAATCAGTCCTTATTTCATATCTCTCCTTCCAATGATGGGAAAGAGCTCTGAGATATATTGCTCTACAGAAGTAAGCCCAGCCCTGTGGCAGGTACTTCACATGTATGTTCACCTTCTCACAATGAGCTTAGAGGTAGCAATTTGCTTCTTCCTCCCTTTGGAGAGAAAAAGGAGAAGTTAAATAACATGCCCATGCTCCTACAGGAGTAACAGCCAGAGATGTTATTTTTACTGTTCTATGATAAAATCCGCATTTATCCTATTGAACCAATTAACTGTTTCAGTAATCACAGGTCATTATTTAGGGTCAAATGATTAGATAGTCCTTTCTCCTGATCCCCCAGAGCTCTTACACTTGTATAATATAAAGTAGTATGCATCCTACTGGTCATAGTAATTCATCCTTATAGCAGCTATTTGAAGTATGTACACCTGATATCTTCTTGTACTGCATTATCAAGAATGGGGTTCAGTATGGCTAAGAAATTTACCAAAGGTCAATCAGGGCTGACTCCCAGGCTGGTGTTTTTCATCCTTCACCGCTTCTCTTCTGTAGATACACGGTCCAGCAGAGTTTACTTTCGTGGCAGCTGAACATGATAGATTTATGCCTGGGCAAGTTATGGGTATTTGCCACAAGGCTTCCATGACTTATAATGAACTGAAGCAAAGCAGTTACCCACGGATTATAATGCCACTGTGGTCCCATGACAAATGACAAGGAGGTTTCTGCAATGAAATCTCATTACTGCGAATAAAGAGACCACATCTGAGGTCTAGCACAGCCACATTTACCACTGCGGGAGGCAAAATGAAACATCTGGGTAAGGGTCTACACTGAATTTGGCAGTGTGCTCACAGGTCTAAGAGGATTTCTCCAAAATTGTAATTACAATGGCAAATGTGTGGTCCCTGTGATAAGGATCAAACATTTCTTTTGGCAGAGATTAAATCTTTCTCTCCTTGAATCTATTATAGATCTTGCAAAAAAAAAAAAAAAATCTACCCAAGAATATATTTTGCTGATCAGCCAACTCGGTGAGCCAGAACTGAACTTTGCCTCTGCTATCATTGGAAAGCTGCAGAACACTGGTGTAAAGGTCTCCTTTCTCCCCCCTAAAGTTGTTCTCCACTCATGATTAATTAGTGACTCAGAGGTGAATTGAATCACCAGCAGCAGTCCTTTCCAAGCGTCTAAGATTTATGTAGTGGTTTCTCATTGAAGAACAGTAGTGCAATAAACAGCCCACATTTGTGGGGTGGGCAGAGGAGTAATGGCTCCTGCAGTTGTGGTTTCTTAACTTATCCAATCCTTTTATTTCACTAAGCAGATACGATTCAAGCTATTAAAGCTTTGTTCATTTAGGTATGAGGGTCTAAATACACACAAACTCACTCGTCCACCTATACACACAACTTAGCACATGAATGAATGCCAGTTTTTTTAGAGAAAGCAGAAAATTCACAGTGCTGTTTCTGAATTCCTTGAGAAGCAAGAAGAAACAATAAAATGGATCATAAATTGTTAATTATTAATAACTAATTATGAGCATGAAAAATACAGGAGAGAACCCATAGTCAGGCTCACTTTCCATGCATCATTTTTTTAATGCTTGGTACTTTGTTTAGTATGTAAAGAGGAATCAAAACAAAACAAAACAAACCATTGTGGTCACAAAGAGCAGAGATTTATGAAAGCCTGAGATATCTACTGTTTAGAAAGGAATTTGGATCTCTTGCTCCAAGAAACAGAAGACAGGAAACCCAGGTATTAGTGTACACTGCGTATACACCATGCAGTCAAGGCACCTAGGAAACAATTCTGTCACCCTGTATTCTGGCATTCGTGAATGTCGACAGGATCCTTTATTGATTTAACTATTGTCCTCTTATGGAAGATTAAGATTCCTTGGTACTTGTCCATTTTTAATTTTCTGCAAGATATAATTGTACAGTAACAGACACAAAGCGAGTTGAGGAAAGCTTGTCTTTGGAGAAAATAAGTGCGATATAGCAATACTGAAGCCAGTGCTCACCCCACAAGAAGCCTTCATGCATTGAATTGAATAGACATTTAATTAATATTGTATTTTTATTGAATGAATGAGTGAATGAATGAATGGGCAAATTATTAAATCCGAGGTTCCATGAAATCTTTTCTAGAATTTAGTTTACATAAATTCTAGAATCATGTCTTTCTCCACTTGTTTATTTTTCTACTTCTTGAAGCACATAGAGAGTAACAAAGTCTAACGAACATATACTGTGTCTCAATCTTGTAAAATGTCAGAACTACTACTGAATTTACTTATCATCAAGTGCTCATACCGTTTCCAGTAATTTAGACCACTGGAGAAATGGCGAAAGATGTCTCCTTTCTCTCTTGGGCCTCTTTATACTCTGTACTGCTATGATACCATTATGAGAGGCTGAGAGAAGCTAAATATATTTGATCAGTAAGGTCACTCTCATTTTGTTTCACTGTGAATACTAATTCCAGTTCTGAGTCATACCCAATTTTTAAAGTAAAAGATTATGTGTTTCAAGAGCATTATATTTATGGCTCAGTGTTTCCAGGCATTTCCTAGGAGGTGGATGACCTCATCATCACTATTATGGCCATTTCCATGATCATCGTTTCCATCGCCATAATGTTAGTCTGCTCTAATCCACTGCAATTGCCCATCCCATGAATCTTCTCAAGCCATGCACCTTTTTTTATTACTGCTGTGATGTATAAGCAAAAGCACCAAAATCAGATTTATCTTTGGATTAAACTGAGAAGTATGTCTGCAAGTTGGGAAGGGTAGCAGCCCTCTGATTCTGAAAACCCCAGCTCAGTTTCACTGCCCTTTCCTGAAAGTTCCTTTTGTATGTGGTTTAGATCTGCAGAAAGTATTACTAGCATGTGATCTAGACAATGCTATTCCTCTGCCACTGGCTCTCAAGAATGCTACACCCTTGTAGCTTGATTGCCCCAAAACTATTCAGGCAGGCACACATTTCCTCTTTAATCCTAAATCTGAGTTGTGAATGATTTACGGTCCAGTGTCTTATTATCCTTTCTTAGGAAACTGGCTGAATTCATCACACAGAAATGATCTTTCCAGTGTCAGTGCTTCGTTGTTAGGTAGTTCTGTCATTCCAGCCTTGATATCCATTGAGGGTAATTGAATGATGTAACCTGTGCAGTTCAGCTTGTGAGAGCAATTTGGGTGGCTTTATACCATTGCTTTTTATGTTCAGTATGAAAGCCCATGGAGAAATACAGGATACTATTATTAACTTCACACTGACAGCTCCCTCTAGGCCCCTACAGGCTTATTGCTAGTTGGAAGATCAACTTTAAAGGGAGAAAATCTTGTGGTCAGTGATAACTATGCCTTTTGTACTTCTTTATTGCAGGAATATGGGAAAATTGGCGTCGTCTTCAATATTGGCACAGTTGACATTTCCATCAGAGAGGAAAGAACCCCTATCAATGATGGCAAATACCACGTGGTACGCTTCACCAGGAACGGCGGCAATGCCACGCTCCAGGTGGACAATTGGCCAGTGAATGAACATTATCCTACAGGTACATGTTTTAATCTTAATGTCATGCTCTCTCTTTCGCTCTCCCATTCTCACTCTTCAGTGCTGATTTTCTTGGGACTGTCACCCCATCATGGTATACTAAGAGAAGCACATAATCATGCTTTTTATAGTAGAACATCAGTTAATTCTATAAAACTTGATCAGTGTAGGGAACTTCTGGAGACTTACTAACTATGCACTGAACATTTCTTACCAACCTTTGGCAAATATGGCCTGACTGGCTCATAGTAAAGACAATGATTATGGGCACTCCAGGTTGCTGCCGGTGAGCAGCAGTACAGGGAAGGAACACAATCTGTATGGTGAGCTATTGTCAATATTACAGGAAAACCAACATGAGATCTGGACTTCATGGTGCCATTTACTCCAATATGGTGGAAGGTACAGGTGGTCAGAGGTGGCAAAGAGACTTTAAAAGGAGATTTATTAGACTTAGGTTCATGAATGGTAAGTCATAGGAGCAAAGAGAAAGAAACCAAGGGCAGAATTTCATTATTTGGCTGACTTGGCTGATTCTTTTTCTCTCACTTGTATTAGGCATATCTTGATCATCAGAGACTGGTCCTGGTAGTCATGTTAACAGCAAGCATGCTGGTATGGGAGAGGGAGGAGTTAATCATCCATTCAATTTTATAGTCAAGAAGCATTCAGCAACAAACTCCCCAAGCCAGGTGGCTGCCGAATCAAGGGCAATGGGAGAAAACGTTGGCTTCTTTAAAGCAAAAATTCCGATAATCCCTCGTCTTTTCTTTTCATCTTTCACCTCTCCTAGGAAAAGGGTTTGGAATTCTGATCACAAAAGTGCCAAGAGGATAAAGCAAAACCTTTAGCAAAAGGCCTTTCCTTCACAGTAGCATTGCTACCTGATGGATGGATGGATACATGCAAGAAATAGCTCAGAATATTGCACCTGTCACTAATGTGGGCCTGATGCATATCTCAGTCTCCTGCACTCTAGATCCCCCCACAATATTCTGTTTGTTGTGTCCTTTACAATGAGTTGAACACAGTAATAAGCCCAAGTCTAAGAGTCATTTAGCTAATAATTATCATATTTGGAAGAAATATTACCAATAATTTGTCTGTCTGTGGTCCAAGACTCTTAAATGGATTTAAGGCTGTGATTATGTCTCCATGCATAAATCAGCATTACTTTTCTTTAAAAGTTAGTCAGAGTTAACTGCACTGTTGTTGGACCATTCCCTACTACCCAGAGTCTCCTATATCTGGTTTTAAAATTTTGAGAGCAAGGCCCACAAGTTACTGAAGGGGAAGGCTCCACTGACCCATTCACTTTTCTCCATTTCCAAAAAGTGGCCACCTCAGCCATTTCTGGATGTCTGTTAGCATTTCTTAGACTAAGGCACAAAAATGACCTTATGAAGTTATCTTTGAGCACATGAAAGAAGCTAAGAGTGTTAGCAGTTACTAGGAATTCTTATCATCATCCAAATTCTCCAGACACTAATAGACTTGATTTTTAAATGCTTCTTGCTGAAACTCTAGGGAATGTGGTGGGGGCAGGTGAGAGGAACTAAAATAGCCTGAGATCTTAAAAGCTGTTCATTTCCTCATAGGAAAAATCCATCTCTCTCTCTGTGCATATTATCATTGGCCCTAAAATTGCTGCTGCAGGGTTTGTTGTGTTTCCATTAGGAGTCTTAAAGATTTCTAAATTAATGTTAACCATTTGCCCTGAGCTGATAGAGGATCCACAAGTCTGCTGCCAGCATGAGAAGCCTTTGGAACGGTCATTTTAAAGTCAAAAGTGTGACAAAACCAGTGACCCTTGTGGTGCACCCTATCACTTTGTGTCTTCAGATCCAAATTATGAGTTGCTCCATACATGTTTTCAATACAGGATAAACCTTTCTTTAATGGCCTTGCTTTCTCCTGAAAACCATTATTATCATTGGTAACTGTTACTTAGTAATTAGGTATATTATTATTATCGGATGGGGTAAAGTATAGCAGTGTTAAGTACAGGCCTATCAGTCAACTGAGAATTTGGTTTCATCAGTTGTGAGTTTAAGACAGTTTGGTTTAAGACCTTGAACTGCCCTATGCCTTGGAATATTTGATGTTTATTATAATAACACTTTAAGAACATATTAAGTTCTTTCTTTCAAACTTCTCATTTATGACTCTATTTTGTTGGTTCTATAAGCAAGTATTTACTCTGTTTGATAATCTAGTTCAAAAATTTACAGAAGTTCTTTTTCAATCTCCCTCTGGTTCCTACTTTGGAAGATGGGGAAACTAATACTTTCCATAGTTGAAGTGAACATTAAGTGAGACAAACAGATGTAAAATTCTCAACATAATTTTGGACAGTTAAGCCAATTCTCAAATGTTAGGTGTGAGAATTATAAATATTTAGGTGGCATTTTAAATTATGGCATTTGTTTGTATAGGTTACTTTATTTTGACTATTAAGTAGCCTGAAAGTTGGGTAGAGTGAATATTCTTGTTACACATTTCAAACCAAAGCAGAGATCCATGCAGATGTTGGGCCTTTCCTAAAGTCATGTATAAGTGAGGGACACTAGGGCCAGGTTTTGTGCCCAGACGGCAACAATTTCCACTCTTGCTCCCAATTCAAATTGGAAGATACTTTTCTAAAATGCATGGTTAGAAATAAACAACTTTCTTCTCATGACCTAAGATTTTTTTCTTTTTTTAAGGAAGTGTCACATTTCAAAGGTTAGCTCCACACAAAGGTAGTTGTTGTGAGATATGGAGTAAAAATTTCTCCTTTAAAAAAGAAAAGTTGTATTAGCACAAATGAGTCTAAGTTGTCCTCCTTATGATGGCAATGTCCTCCTATGAGAAAATTGAGAATACTGAGTGTTTGAGGGAGTGATTACCTTACTTGATTGCTTGGTGAAAATGGTAAGATATAGTAAATCAAGGGCAATGTTTGAGTTTTATGTTCTACTTTACCTAAACTTCTGAGGAATTGACTCAAATTTTGGGCCTTGGATACCTGATTTTCTTTCTTGCTTGTTTTCCTATATAATTGAAAGAATCCATTTAATGAACTTCAAGTATCATTAAAATAATCTGAAACAGTTTAATTGATATATTTTAAAGTAGTAGATCAAAATGACCTCGTATCTGTAGTAATGAAGTATCCTCTTTTTTCAAGCCATTTTGTTTTATTGAAAACAATAAACCATTGTAAGTCACAGGGAGGAGTTCAGTTTTGCTACTCATTTATTACTAATCATTATTACTAATGTTCAAACAATAAAGAAATATTGAACATTATCTGCAAAATAGTCACTTAAATGAGCTCATACTGAGGGTATACTTTTAGAAAATGCTACCTGCTTACCAGGTCTGAATGGAACAACTTTGCACCAGGATGAATGGGCCAACTCTCAGATTTTCTGACTGGCATTTATAGGATTTTTTGTGTCTCTCCTGAAGCAAACTGTTGTGAAGTATTTAGAACCCAGCTGGGCACAGGGCATGTAGCACTGGCTCTTTGTGAGTCAGTGAGGACCAAAAAGGGACATGGTTCTACAGCATGGAATCTTATATCACTTAATTCTGAGAAATAGCACTCAAAAGCAACTTCTTTCTTTGAACCTGAAAATAGAAAACCTGAGGAACAGGACAAGGGAAAAAAAAAGGAGAATCAGCCCACAGCTATCATCCAAGCACTGACAAATGTGCCTTATAAAGCCTTTGATGGCTGTCTCTCTACAATGCAGTTGTGAGGACAAGGGAGGGCAGGTGAAAAGTGAGCTGAGCATAAGGAATTAATTTTAGCCATAGTTCTAGACCCCCTGGGAAGCTGAGCTGCCTGGGCTTATTCAAGATCCTTTCTCTGCTGTGTGTGGGTGGCCATTTATGCTGTCAAGGCTATTAGAACCTGAACATGGTACAATAAGAGCTTTACAGACCACAGCTAGGCTTCCTGGGAAATGAAGACTGAGAAGCACCTCAATATGTGCTGAGTAGAACAGAGTCTCAATTGGTTTCTCCTTGATTTTGCATAACAACTCAGTTGAAATGCACTTGACTCAATTCTTCTTTATCAGTGTGTTAGTCAGTTTTCCACTACTATAATGAAGTACCTCAGGCAGTTAACTAATAAATAGAAAAGGTTTATTTTCCTTCACAGTTTTGGAAATTCCAGACAACACCTAAGACAATTCACTTATACCTCAGGTAATTAATCTATAAAGAAAACATATTTATTTTTGCTCATGGATCTGAAAGCTCTAGACCAACACTAACTGGTCCTATTTGCTTTGAGTCTCTGGTGAAGGCAGCATATCATGGCAGAAGCATGATAGAATAAAGTGCTTACCTCACTAGCTAAGAAGCAGAGAGAAACTCAAAGAGATGAGGGCCCCATAATCTCCTTTGGGGATATACCCCCCCACAATGACCTAAAGACCTCCCACAAGGTCCCACCTTCTAAGGCCCACAGCACTTCCCAATAGTACCACCCTAGGGACCAAGCCTTTAACACATGAACCTTTGAGGTCCACTCATCTAAACTATAGTAGGCTCTAAATCACTTGTTCAGCCTCATCTGGCCTAATGGACAAAACCAAGATTCCTGTCCTGATATTCATACTGTACTACTTCAAACTTCTTGCCCATTATCCTATTTCTGACTTTGTTGTGTTTTTGATAATAGCATTATCTTTCCCCAAAAAAATTATTCTCAGACAGAAAACCATACCTGTTTGGGTTAGTAGGATTTTTTACCCTTAGCACTCTTATTATTTGGGGTCAGATAAATCTTTGCTGAATGTGGTAGTGGGAAGGGGTGCTGTCCTGTGCATTGTAGGGTGCTTATCTGTGACCTTCACTCACTTGATGCCAGTAGCACCTTTCCACAAAAGTCAAATGTCCTCTAGTGAGGGCATAGGTACCTGTAACGGAGAACCTCTGAATTTGAAAGAGTTCCCCACATACTTTGTTTCAAATACTCATCATCATCTCATGTTTAGGTGATAT